ATCAAAAAGAAAGAGAGCCAAGAGTGCTGGTGGTGCCAACACAAGAAACAGACGAGAGACCACCTTTTTAAGTGGTGCAAAAAGTGGAAGAGACAGCAGGACGTCCTTTGGGAGAAGCTGAAAGTGAAGTGCAAGTGGAAGGAAGGGAGGACGAAGGTGCCAATGTCTCAGGTGTTTGATACAGACGAAGCCGTCAAGCCTGTGTTAGAGTTTCTAGCTGACACAGACATGGGAAGAGTAACGGGGGAGAGGGTGAGGGAAGGGGATGATGATGCAGAGGTAGAGGAGGGTGGAAGTAGCAGCGGAGATGAATAGGGAGGGGACGCTGAGAGAGGCAGAGGAGGGTGGAAAGATGCTGGTGTTAAAAGTTTTTCTTTATCTTTTCCTTTTGTTTGGCGGAAATGGGGAGAAGGAGATCAGGAAGTACGACTTGGAAGTGGCTTTTTGTCATGGAAGTGCTTAGGACTAGGTTATATGTCATGGCCGCAAGCGGCCGAATACAGTATGATTACAAACAAACAAATCCCCATTCAGACTCGGCTAAAATTCAGCCATGGCAACGGAACGGGCCGAGCCGGATCCGCTCCCTAGTTGCAGCTCACGTGCTTGATGACGTATATACATGCACGTTTGTCAATAGCATAATTCATTTTGAATACCTGCACTTTCATGTTTGATCATTTAAATTGGGACAAGTATGTTTGCATTAGGCGCAGTGCCCGTAACCCCTGCATGTCCAAGAGAGAACTTCCTATTTTCAAAACCCCAGTGTTTGGAGAACAGAAATGCCGCTAGCACCTCAATGGGAAGCTGCGACGGCACGGCTACCGTAGGCTGAGCGCAGCAGAGGGTTATGAACGGTGGAAGGTGGCATCATGGTCTTTTACAGTCTCCATCTCTTTAATATACTTCGTTCACAATGTGGTGTGCTAGAAGCGTGATCTCTATTCTCTAAGTGTCACAATCTATATGTACAGAGTTGAGCCGCACACGTGACCAACGTACATCCTACAGCCGAATATTGAGGCGACGTTGACGATTAGCCCGCAACAATGCCTGGTGAGATTGTTTCGGGTGAGAAAAATAAAGGATTGGGTGCGTGCATTGATAGAGCGGCAGGGAACGCATTTCCATGGATTCGAATTGACTGATACCCATTGCATTATTTTGAGGTTATATAGTTACGACCACCTACTGATCACTCCTCCCGGCACTTCTCCGCTTCGGTGGATTCTCGTTTGGATCCCATTCCCCAGGCTTAAACACCCTCACCTTCCTTCCTCACTCTTCGGCCATGGATCATTCGTCATCCTGCCCTGCCCTCCTCTCCATCTCCACGCCCTTCCCCCTAAATCTGCTCCCAGCTCTCCTCTTCCCACATCCTGCCTTCGTTGTAACCCAGAGTCATTACAAAACTTCGTATTCGACTCGATCACGGAGTTCTTTGGTGGGTGGGGACCGGCATTAAGTAGACTAGGCTTTGCGGCCCATCTTGCATCCGCCAAAACTGCATTTTTCGCCAGCACATCTTGCCGTTTCAGAATGCTGCTATTCAATCGTGGGTGCGGGGATCTGGGTTGCTCGAAGGCATTGGTGCCAGGCAGCGGATACGGCGGATGCGTAGTCGACCCAGTCGAGGGATTGGTCTTTAAACAGTGTTCCCGACAGGCCGGGCCGGCCCGCAGTTGGGTCTGTGGCCTGCAGGCCGGGCCAGATGAGGCCGTTTAATTTTCGAAACTGCGCAGGCCAGGCCGACGATTTGACAGCCTGGGGCATAACTGTGGGTGACTGGGCGGACTATAGGCTTTTAGTTGGTTGTATATGACAGTCGGCGAAAGGTGACTACAATTGATAAGCTGTGGACATTCCAGGAGTTTCTCATAATCGTCACTCTAATCAGACAGTGCAAGGCGACATACAAATGATTGATAATCTGTTGAAACTTGAGCCTGCAGGTGAAATCCAGCATTTTCTCGTAGTCGCCACACTGATCAAATTTCTGGAGTGCATACTGAGATCAATGAGATGGAGCATATGTTGGAGGTATTGTATCAGGAATCGATGGCCAAGGAAAAATAGGCTCTTGGAAATGTATTACTAGATGTACAAATTTGAAGTTCTACGCCCGGACCATAGTTACCTATAGTTACCTGTAGTCAAACTGCAGGCTTTTTGAACCATGGTTCACCCAGGCACCTGTAGTTCCCACCTGCTCAAAGCCTGCAGGCGTGGGCCGCTCCAATGGCCTGGCCTGCGATGCGCGGGCCAGGCCGGGCTTATTCTGAAACTGGCCCGCCTGGCCCATCAGGATTACTGTCTTTAAATACGACGGTGCGGCGCGGCTGGCAGGCATGGACGCGGTTGCGGAACTCCCAAAAGGTGTTCCCTTTCAGGTCCATGCCTGGGGTTGTCAGCGCAAGTCGAGGGCAAGATCAATCAGGAGGATAACTTAATAGCATAGTTACCGACGAAGAATGTTTTTCGCCATGGGAAGCGGTGAGAACGCCGAGCTATTGCCAGGGCATGCTGAGGATGTTTTGGCGGGCATTGTTGGGGATGCGGAGAGGAGAAATTAGGCGAGTGACGTCGTCACATGTGTAACCGCGGCGAGTGACGCAATCCGCGAAAATAAGTTGTGTAGATTAAGTTACTCGGCCTCTCAGTACGCCTTCTGCTTCACCTAACTTTCGCCATTGCAATGTCCCTCCCTCGTCTCTCCTTCCGCGCCAACCTGCCCCGGCGCCCACTCCCCCGCTTCTTCACGGCGGCACCTCCGACGCCCAGTCCCTTCCTCTCCGCTCGGCTGAAGTTGCTCTCCAAACAATACGGCTACTGCGCGTACCTTGAGCTCTCCTTACTTGATTTCCCATTTCCCTTCCTCGCCGTACGCACGATCGGCAGTGAGAAGATTGGCGAGTACAAACACCTCGTGATCGAACTGTGCCACAGTGTGTACAAAGCGGTCGGATCCCGGATCAACGGGTTGCCGGTGTGGAAGGGAAATCCTAAGATCGTGATGCCGGGAAAGAAGGCGAAGGGGACAGATTGAGCAGAACACCAGGTCCTCCCTAGTGGTAGAGGGGAGAATTTTTGGAACGATAGATGAATATACGATATTCGACTCTGTTACTTTTTGGCATTCTGGAGGGCGGTGCTGCTATTTCAAGACGGACAGCAGCTGGGTGCTTTTTATATTTGTGTAGAGTAGATTCCCGGTGCTTGAGCGGTTATAGATCTCGTTGAAAACATATAGATTCTCTGAGGTCCATCAGGCTCAAAACTACACTGTGCTCGTGCTACTTGCTATTTGTTCAACCTTGCTCCGGTGAAGTAGCTGCAAAGTTCATGCAGTACAAAATGAAGCTGAAATTTTTCACGAATTATGCATGGGACCGAATCCTGCGCCTCAGTAGATACCAAGTACAATTGTAGAGTGCAAGGATTGATTGCCCCGCTCCTGACTTGCCCCCATATCTCTTGATTTGGCTCTGCCCTCCTCTGTCAAACCATCCTGTATCCCATAAGTCCCCAGCATTCTGGCTTCACGTCTTGTAGTATATTTCAGCGAGTTCATTCTTAGCGATGGCCGAAACGGTTGCAGTCATCGGTCTGGTTGCCTCCATTGTTCAGCTAACGCAGTTTGGCACCACCATCGAGGTTCGGCTCAACGAGTTCCAGTCGAGTGCCAAAGAGCTACCCAAATGCTTTCGGGAGATTCAAACCCAGTTACCGTTACTGGTTGATTCACTCAAGCGAACGCAAAATCATGCCGATGCTGGCTGTTCTAGTCAGTTCACGGAAGATGTCAGTCCGCGGAGTGACTAGTCAACCCGCGGAGTAACTGGGCTCCATGAACTGACCGGTCACTTCATGGAGTCTACCACAACTCCGTGAACTGACTAGTCACTTCGTGGAGCAATGGCGACACTCAGAAAATGACAAAAGTTTGTCTGCAAGTATTTGTCCAATCACCAAGAGATGTATATATGTAATATGTATAATACATTGCTCTTCAACTCCCGGTCTTTGATTTACGATATCTTTAAAATTGATAGAGCAGCTTTAAAAATACACTCAAAAATTGCCCAAAATCGATGATTTTCCACAACTATTCTATCAATATGAGAGATATAGTAAATTGGAGACCAGGAGGTGAAAGCGCAATAGATTGTGCATATTTCATGTATACATACCTTTGGGATCAGAGCAACTGTTAATTGTGTATGAGCATAATTAGCACTGGTTAGTTCACGGATCCGTGATCTGACTGGTTCATTCACGAAAAGGATGTTCAGCAAATCACCTGCTCGCTCGGAAGTTACGTCCAGAAGTTAACTTATCACCACGCCGCCGGTGGTCAGTTTCCGACAGTGGGATCATCTCAATCGAAGCTGCATACGACAGCGCAGAAAACATGTTTCATGGTTCAATTCGAACAGGATCCATATTTTGTTGGTCGTGAGGACATCAAGGAAATCGACGAAAGGCTCAAACTATGACCACATCGAGTAGCACTCGCAGGGATTAGAGGCGTTTGGTATGCATCTCTCTTCTGTGTTGTTGATTAAACAATAATCCCCCCTCTGTTTATATTACACCGTGCTGGAAATAACGTGTACGATAGTAAATTTCGAATTGCAATTGAATACTGTTACCGATACAAAGACAAGATGACCTGTAATACGGCTTCATGATATTGAACGGTAAATTATACGCACTATCAACATTAAACGAACATTATGTTGGAACATGTGAATCTACACTCATCAATGGCCGGTGGCGCAATGGTAGCGCATCCTTCTAGTACAGGAAATGTTCTAGGTTCGACTCCTAGCCAGTCCATTCTTTCTTTGTTTCAACAGGTTATGAGCCCGGGTTAGTGATACCCGTTGCCCGTTGCAGAAAATTTTGGATGGCTTGTAGGTTCGCCCCAGCGATAGCACACTAAATAGAGTGTGGCTTGAGGGGAGTGTTGGAACATGTCAATCTACACTCATCAAGGGCCGGTGGCGCAATGGTAGGGCATCCTTCAAGTAGAAAAAAGGTTCTAGGTTCGATTCTTAGCCAGTCCATTCTTTTCTTGGTTTCAACATATTATCTGATACCTGCTCGAGTTTTAGCACACTTCATTGTGTTGCTTTTATTCCCTGGAATGGCTTCATCTACAGCCACAAAAAACCCTAGCAAAAGCGCTGCGACAAACACTCCACCAACTAGAGAATAGTGAAAATCCCAGCCGGCCATCCCTTCATCGCTACTACTTTAATCCACATGCCCCCCATGTGTACTGAAGATGTAGCCCGAAAGGCCTACATGTTTCTAAAAGGCTAGCGACGCTGCTAGAATGCACTGGAGAGTGATTGCTAAGCATCTAAGTAGCCGAGTAGACTCATACATAGATAGTCACTCGCCACTGGCATAGCCACTGGTGTTGCATAAATAGATCTCAGCCTTCATACGGGCTTACCGGGCTGGCTCTTGTACGGGCTCTCGTACAGGCTGGCTCTCGTACGGGCTGGCTCTCGTACTGGCTGGCTCTGGTACGGGCTGGCTCTCGTACGAGCTGGCGGTGCTCAGCCGTCTCTATACATAGATGATGAGCACGTACATATTCGTACCGTATATAAATATGGCCTTATGGCTTCTTAGATAGAACAATTAAGCTTCTCTAGCAATCAGTATTTCAACAGGTTATGAGCCCGGCAGTCCGTATCATCTAAATTCTACTTTACTACTCTATTTATACCTCACGATCTACAAGAGCCTGTACAACCCTAACCCTCACACTAAAACTCAACACTATTACGTTCTCATGATGACTTCCTCTTCATCCGAACCCGCCTTCAGTAAAACCATGTGGGGTGATATCTTCAAGCTCACTCACAGCAACTATGACGAATAGAAAGACGACATGATACTTGTCCTATCAACATAGGAGCATACGGAATCGTCACCGGAGATAGTCTTGAACCGCAGGCCCTTGATATCAATTACGATGATTGGAAGGCTAAAGCAGCCCAAGCTGCATCTATAATGAGACTTTCCTGTTCCCCAGCAGTACAGCGTATTGCCAAAGGTATAAGAAACCCTCACAAGATGTGGATCATGCTGGAAACCAGCCTGGGCACCGCCGGATCGTACATTGGCAGATAGGACAGTCTCCGCCATTTCCGAGCTTGCCGACCTCAGCAAAACAAACTGCTTGAAGCATACTTCACTAAGCTTAGCAACTACCGCACACAACTGGACAATACCGACGATGCAATCACCGATCGCGATTTCCGCATGCAAATATTGACATCACTGCCATCACAGTATACGATGATATTAATGGTCCTGAAGCATAGAAGAACCTTACCTACAGCCGAAGAAGCCATGCATGATCTCCTAGAAGAAGAAATTACAACTGGTCTTACCAAAGAACTCGGAGATGCATCCAAAGGGGCCACCCTTCTCACCCCACGTGGCGGCTACCGTGGCCGAGGCCGAGGCTGTGGATGTGGTGGACGTGGTGGCTGTGGTGGACGCAGTGGAAGCGGTGGAAGCGGTGGAAGCGGAAACAGCTAGGAGAGTATGTGTACCTATTGCAAAATTGACAGTCATACCACAGATGCATGCAGAAAAAGGAAACGCGATCAGGACGGAGATAACAGCGGAGGAAAGGACAAGCGCATTTGTTACCAGTGCGGGCTTCCAGGCCGCGTTAAAGTCGATTGTGTCTCCTACAAATGTGTCAAAGAGTGGTGGAGAGCCAAGAAAGCTACCGCTACAGCAGCTCTAGCTACAGCCAGAGACTGCAACCATCTCTGACTGACAGCTATTGCTCTCACTGCCGCCGCGGCCGCTCCGAAGTGGGTCATTGACTCCGGAGCACCTCACCACATGTGCAATGACCGCAGCAGCTTCACAACGTTCAAAAAGCTCTCACTCCCTATAGCAATCGAACTCGGAGACAATAACTCAGTTATCGCCACGAATTAAGGCTTCGTTGACATACAGGGCTACCAAGTAGAAGCCCTCCATACTCCTACTTTTTGACTTTCTCTCTTATCGGTCAACCAATTGGATTTGGGTAGGCATACGACTATATTTCAGAACGGAAAATGCTCCATAACTTCGCCATCTTCCTGCCCCTCGCCGGAAAACTAATCAATGGCATATATATTATAGCCCGCGCGACCGCACTCCAATCGATGACTACCGAGAAAGGAAGAAAGAAAAGGAGAGAATGCTCACTCCCAGGAGTATTAATCGCAGAACCTACAATCGAGCCAACGATCGAGTCTTCAAATACACCTACAGCAGCCATCACTATGTCCAAGTCCACTGGAAAGTCTCTCACAATCTCAAAGTCAAGACTATGGCACCGGCGACTAGCTCATATGAATCCTACCGCCATGAAGTCTCCGATTGGCGGATATACACACGATGATTCTATGTGCACAGTCTGCATCCAGGCCAAGGACAAACAAAGGTTTATCAGAGTGCCAGTCAAACGCACTACGAAGTCTTTTGAACTCGTACATTCGGATGTATGCGGTCCTTTCTCAACACCGACCTTCGGAGACAACTGGTACTATATACTTTTCATTGACGACTACACGCGGTATACATCTGTATGGCTGCTCCCAAATAAGAAAGCTGAGACCTGCACCTCCGCCTACCAGTCATTCCAGGCCCGAATTGATGCTATGGGCCAGGGCTATCAAATCCAACGATTACGGTGCGATAATGGACGCAGAGAGTATGACAATAAGACCTTCCGATCTGTCCTCACAGCCCACGGTAGCGCATACGAGCCATAACCTCCATATGCTCACCATGACAATGGTGTTGCCGAACGAATAATCCGGACATTCACTGAGAAAGCTCGAGCGATGATGTTCGATTCCCAGGCCCCCATTCAGTTCTGGGGAGATGCGGTTAATACCGCGGTCTATCTTCACCAAAGATCTCAACATGAAGGCCTATACAAATGGGATGACCGGGATGGCTACAGAGCACCGCTCCAAACTCCATACGAGATGCTGCATGGATTTGGAAAACCTACGCACGATGCAGCCGGCAACAAAATATCATACCAAGCTCCTCTCTCTAATCTACGTCGATTTGGATGTTACGCGAGCAGACTCATCCCCGAAGTACAGCGCCGAAGCAAATTCGGCCCAAGGTCAAAGCCCTGCATGATGGTAGGCTACGCACACGACTCAACAACGTTGTAGAGAATATGGGACCCTGAATTCCAGACGGTGAAAGCCCAATCAAAAGTCGTCTTCGACAAAGAGAGAAATACACACATGTCATGTCAGCATGGAAGCAATGAGATCGATATGTTTGGGCTATCAGAACACAAGAAATATATCAAGGAAATAGATACCGGAGATGAGCCTCTCCGAGGACAAGAAAGTCAACCTACGCAGTTAGGTAAGATATCCACATCTCACATGCATATAGCTCCTGACAAGGCAGCAGAAAACGCCCACAGATGGCGACTCTGCCTAGAGGATCAGGCTGCCCAGCGTTCGGCAGTAGCCGGAGAAAACATCACCCACAGCCGGCGCCTCCGCAGAGAGGACCAGACTGCCCGGCGTTCGGCAGCAGTAATGAAGAAATCAAGCCAAGTACCGCCAACATCTCCAGCTCCAGCTCCGCCGATAATGAGTCGTGTCACAAGAAGTCAAGATAAAGCCTCAGCGGAAGCATTAACGGCATCCATAGAAGATCCATTCACATACGCGGATGCTATGGTATGCCCTCAACATGATCACTGGAAAAGAGCCATGGAGGAAGAAAGCACATCGATCTTGTTCAATAACAGCTTCTCCGCTCTCAACTCCCGGGAAGCACAGCAACTGCAAGTTCAGCCGATTAGCTCTAAGTGGGTTAACAAGACTAAACATAACACTGATGGGTCCACACGGTATAAAGCACGGCTAGTTATAAAAGGATATGAGCAGACGGATCTCGGTGAGACTGATGGCCCTGTTGGGAAGCTAACTACGTTTCGGTATCTCATCTCTCACATCGGGAGATACTGGTTGAATATGGATCACTTGGATGTAGTTACCGCTTTCCTAAACCCCGAAATCGACGATGACGATATCTATATGACTTTGCCAGAAGTGTGGCCAGAAGGCCTCAATGCACCGAAGATTATCGTCAGACTCAGGAAAGCTCTCTATGGTCTGAAACAAGCTCCATGGTTATGGCACCACAATATCAACGCCTTTCTACTCTCTTAGGTTCACACAATCCCTTGCCGATTCTGACCTCTATCTTCGCAGTGAGGGCATTGTGATACATCTGTATGTTGACGATATCTCCATGTCATATCCGCAGGCAGCCGCCAATGCTGCGATCAAGGTCAAGGCCAAACTCTCAGAGAAATTTAACATCACGAACCTCGGCCCAGCACGCCAATTCCTCGGCATCGGGATCCACCGCGATGAGAATGGTAGTGGGATCAGTCTCGGACGGATAGCCTATATCACTACGATTCTCAGACGATTCGACATGGAGCATACACACGGTGTATCAACACCCATGGACCCCAATGGAAAGTTGGACTTGGCCGAGGATCGGGGGGAGAAGGTACTGGAAGATATTACAGACTATCAAGCAGTCGTGGGATAACTAATGTACGCAGAACTTGCAACTCGGCCAGATATCTCGTATGCCGTCGCTGCTCTTTCCCGTTACAATTCGCGACCATTCACCAGCCATATGACCGCTGCATATAGAGTTCTTCAGTATCTCAAATCTACAGCCGATTTTCGACTACATTTCAATGGCAACAACGCCATCGGTAATAGTCTCGTGGGGTACTCGGATTCCGATTGGACCAATGACGGCGCAGACCACAAATCTCAGGGAGGCCATGTGTTTCTCGCTGGCAATAGAGCTGTCTCGTGGCAGTCTCGAAAGCAAAGCCTCATCGCCATATCAACTCTGGAGGCCGAATTCATCGCCTGCTCAGAGGCCTCCAGAGAAGCGAAATGGTTACTCCAATTGCAGAGGGATATTCACGGTTCTCAGAAAGACTCACCGCTGCCAATCAACTGCGACAATCAGG